AACTTTCCATCGCTCCTTCCGGAGACCCGGATTAATGGGGACCACTCCAAATCTGGCAGCTCTCATCTGCAGCCGAGGCAGAATTCAGTCCTGACGCCTACTTGGTGTTTCACTGAGGGCAATCACTTTGGGGGAAATTTCATTTAAATATATTCAACTTTCTTTCCATTCTGGTAGAGGTAGGGTGAGCTGGCCTGAGCTAGCCACGCACACTGAGTGGTCAGAATGCAACAACTTAACACGAAACACTCAACATCCAGGTAATTCAATTCCACTAAGGTTTTAATCGCTCCAGACGGAAGCTGTTAAAATTCGTGGGGTTCCTGGCGCACTGCAGGCAATGGGCCTGGGGCCTGGACCCGTCTGCAAAGACCACTTCCAGCCCTGCCCCGGGAAACAAGCTCTGAGCAATAACCAGCTCTTGGACAGAGTCTGGGGTCCCTTAAAGATGGGCTGCCCCCTGCAGTCTGGAGAGACTCAGGTTCGGTTCCCACTAAGGGCACGTATCTCGGTTGCAGTTTGTCCCCGGCCCTGGCTGAGTCATGTGGGTGGCAGCCACTCGATGTGTCCCTTTCACGTCGATGTTTCTCTCTCTCTCTCCCTCCCTCCCACTCTATCTGAACAAAATATCGAAAAATGTCCTCAGGTGAGGAAAAAAAAAAAGATGGGCTGCCCCAATCCCAGCCAAGTACATAACTGGTTCTGTCTCCCCACTAGCCCTCCATGCTTCTTGTTGGTGCCCGATACAAAATCCGCACCTGCCCCTCATGAGCTCACAGAAACCCTAGACGGTGTCATTTGGCCATGCCTGCCGTGCACGGGTAAAGCAGGACTTGCGCCCAAGGCACTGGGCACCTCCTTACTCGGGTCGGGGCTCAGGCACGACCTCACTGGGAAGCCTTTCCTGTCTCTAGGCAAACTCAGGTCCTCTCACTCAGCACAGAGAGGGCTCCTCTGACGTCATTACCCTTATAACAGAGTGACTATTTTTATGACATTCTTCCCATAATGCACCGAGCCCCGTAGGGGAAGAGAGTGTCTTTCCCACATTCAGGTTTCTGGTCCCTGGTAACTATGGCTGTTCGGTAATGATGGATGGATGGTTGGGATGGATGAATGGATAGACAGATGAAGAGCAGATGGGTGGACAGAGATCCAGATGTATAGATAATGAATGGACAGGTGGATAGATGTCTAGATAAATAGATGGACAGATGATAGCTGGCGGAATGGATGCCTGTTTGCATGGGATAGACAAATGGAGGATGTATCAATGGATGAATAAATGGGTAAATGGACAGGTAGATGGGTATTTGGATGGATGGATGGATGGATGGATGGATGGGTGTTTGGATGGGATAGATGGCTAGATAAGTAGATGGGTAAATGGGAAGGTGGATGGATGGATGGATGGATGGATGGATGGATGGATGGATGGATAATTGGGTCTACTGGTTAATGGCTGGATAGACAGATAGATGGGTGGGCAAACAAATGAAGGGGCAGCTAGACAGTTGAACACGAGTGGCCTTGGGTCACAAAGGACAAGGTCCAGGCTCTTGACCCCCACTCTCTTCTCACCCTGCCTTGTACACACTCGTCTCTTTAACACATGGCTCAGCTCAGTCTCTTTTCTTAGACAGATGTCAGCTTGGATTGTCCTTGCGGTTCATTTTAGGCCCTTGGATCCTTTCCTGAGACCTCCACGGATTCTTGTTTCCATCACGGAAATGGATTTCCATTGCCCCTCCACACGCTTTCTTGTTCATTCGTCAGCTCCTGCAGCCTCCTCTCTGACAGGAGCAGAGCCTCCTGCGGAGCACTGGGAGGTCCAGTCTCTGCCTGCTGACACCTTCCGTCCGGGAACCAGCCTGCCGCTCACAGCTGGCAACAGCGTGGTGCTGCCCGCCCTCACATAGTAGGGTGCAGCTCCAGACCCTCTGCTCCCATTTCCTCCAGGCACAGTGGTGCCCGATGGAAACCCCCTGTCTGAACCTAGCCTGCCATTCATGCATCTTGCCAATCACTCATTCATCAACTCTCACCAGGCAAAATGCCCCTCAGACATGTGCACCAAGAAAAAATTACAGAAAGTTTACAATTCAACATGGCAAAGGCTCAAACAGAGGAAAGAAATACGGAGAACGCGCTCTGGGTGCCAGAGCAGCGAGCCCTGAGGGGTAGGGAGGAGCTGGCCAGGCAGAGCGGGGCAGAGACACCCGACCCCAGCAGAGGGCCATGGCAAGCGGCCAAAGCTGAGTCTGCAGCAAGGGGAGGGAAAGCCACAGAGCTGCCACAGGGTAGAGCCCACAGCCAGCGGACCGGGCACATCTGTCCTTGGTCTGTCCTTGGTCCCTGTGTGGTCCCACAGGTCAAGTGGCCTCTGGGAGAAATGGAAGAGCTGGTGGCATCTGGGCTGTCAGCTGGGGCAGAACGACAGAAGGCCATTGAGCCTGGCGGGCCTGGGGGCAGCCTGGGACTGGACTGGGTCCTCAGGCCACAGGGCTGTAAGCAGGGCAGTGATTCAAGCAGGTCTCTGTTTAGAAAACTTGGCAGGGCTCTGGCCGGTTTGGCTCAGCGGTTAGAGCGTCAGCCTGGGGTCCAGAGAGACCCGGGTTCGGTTCCCGCTAGGGGCATGTGCCTCAGTTGCAGTTTGTCCCCGGCCCTGGTTGGTCGTGTGGGTGGCAGCCACTCGACGTGTCCCTTTCACGTCAATATTTCTCTCTCTCTCTCTCTCTCTTCCTCTCTCCCTCCCACTCTATCTGAACAAAAAATGGAAAAATGTCCTCGGGTGAAGATAAAAAAAAGAAGAAGGAGAAAACTTGGCAGGGTTTTATTCTGGCCAATGCGTGTTGCATGTTGTAAATATGGGAGACACAGAAAGAAAGAAGACCAGGCAAAAGTCAGCCAGGCTAGTGATGATTTCTACAAACTCTTCTTCAAAGAGAGGTTTCAAAGTTCCCTCCCGACCGGGGCTCACACTGGCAGGCTAGGGGGGCGAGGCAGCAGCGGGCAACCGCAAAGCCTGTTCTCTTTTTATTCAATGAACCCACTGCGAACCGCACGCTCAGCAAAAGGCCCAGCCGCGCTGGTCTCGGCCCGAAGGAACCTCCGCGGAGTCCATTCGGGTCCGCACCGCCGGGCTGGCTCGTCCAACGTGGCTTCTGACCCCAAACCACAGGCAACTGAACCAGCGTTTAGAAGGACCTGGAGTCGCAGAGGAGAAAACCAAAGCCCCACGCTTCGGAGGGGGAAGGTCCGCTCTCGGCCTCGGAAACCGTCAGAAGGCCCGGTCACGTGACAGCAGGGCAGCTAGGACCGTGAGCGGAGACTAAGCAGTATCGACCGAAGGGTTTTCTTACTCATCCCATTAGGAATACTCCTGGTTTCTTTTCTCTCCACAATCTATTCCTCCCAGACCTACCTTTCGGAACAAGCTTGAACTTGAAATCAGGCCGAAAGGAGGATTTAGTGACCGCCTTTGCTCCGCTCGGCCCATGGTGCGGAAAGGCGCGTCCACGCCGCTCGCGTCCAGGACAGAGACGGCGCCGTCCCCCAGCAGGGACACCCCATTTGCTAATACGTACAGGCTCAATTCTGGTTACAGGTGAAATTTTCATTTTGACACACTCAGAGGACTCCATTCTTCAGATCCCTCCTACAGAGCCAATAATCAATTCCTTCCCGATTTCTGTTTTCCTTCCTCCCCTTTGTGTACCGATCACAAATCTGCATAAGTTTCTTCCAGCAACGTGGAGACCCGAGATTCTGAAGGACCCCTCCCACTCATTATGCACAGAAATGTGCACATAAAATGTAATCCCGGTCAACTGTCAAGAACAAAAGGGCGATCGAACCCCAGGTACCAGCATGGAGGAGGGTCTTTGACAACCAGATGGCAGCCCAGAAGCTGAACATGTGGCTCCACCAGGGTATCAGGTCTGCATGTAGGCGCCACAGCTCAGGGCCGAGGACGGACCACCCGGGTGAGGACAGGCGTCTAGGCCGAGGACACACCAGAGAGGAACCCCAAACTGAGGCACAACGTGGTAGGGAGCCCACAGTCCGCCCTCTGCGTCAAAACGTGGCTAGAACATCCACACCTGAGGAAGCACCAACGAAATAACGCCATCTGATGAGGGTCGGGGGCGAAGGTCCCCCATCCTCTGGGAAGTTAGCCCCCAACATGAATAGCGAGGGTCGCACTGGTCGCGTTCACGTGGCACGGCATCTCCAGGTATAAACGGGGCTGTGACTGTGCCAGGGGCTAAGGCAGTGCTGCCGTCTACTCCGTTGATGCTGGTGATGCTGTCGGAGGACGGGCAAGCGCGGGCACCGCCTGGGTGACAGGCACACGATGGGACCAGCTCGAAGGAGCATCTTGGTGGGCCTAACACATGACCCTGCATTTACACTTCAACCCCGCCACCCCATTTCTAAACTCCGACCCCAAGGCTACACTGGTGAAAATGCAAAGCAACACGATCTCAGGGACATTGATTTCAGCGTCGATCATAGTAACTACCTGGTGCCAATAAGCCAGCTGCCCCAACACTCACAACAGCAGCCCAGTGCAAACACCACACCCACTAAAAGTGCATATCTTCTAAGAGAAAGGGGGGTAACTATATTTTCAAAAATAAACCATGGAAGGATTAAACCAGAAGCAAATGGAAAATGGTCACAGAGAAGAAGGGAAAACAACTCAGGGCAGGGAAGGCTTAAAGCAAACGTCTGCGGACACACCCATTACACCAGCGTTTAGTTTTCCCTTTAGAATTTGGAATTTCTTTCATAGTTAAAAAATGCCTTAAAGAAAAACATCCCCAAAATGGAAAGCACACTGAAACAAATGAATTTAACTGTGTATCGAGTTGGTGGTAGAGACACACAGAGGGAAAATGTACTTCAGTCGACTTGAACTTGAACGCTCAATGCTGGATAGATTGTATCCCATTAGGGATGTACTAAGAACAAAAGAAAGAAAAAAGAAATCTAACCCGTTATTCAGTAGGTTATCATGTAAATGCTGGTGTTATTCTGAAACCACGTTGGTATATCCTACAATAGAATAACAATGTTACTCTAACACAACCAAGATTCTCATCATAAAAGATATACAAGTATAAAATCAAAGAAGTAAAAACACTGTGATCCTAAATTTGGATGAAAACGATCAGTATGAATGTATAACTTTTCTTTAAAAAATACACAATTTAGCTCTGTCTACCAAAAAGCCTAGAAGCGGTGATGGTCCACTGGCAATGAGCACACTGAGTACAAAGATTATAGTCTCTAAAGACCTTATCCCAAAAGAACCAGGTCTTATTGGGGAAAATGGCAAATTCCAGAAATGAGTAGTGTGATATTGTGATTTATAGTAAGAAATAAACTCAGAATTTCCTAAGTTACAAGAGTGATAAAGGTGAAAGAAATCTTTCGTGACTTCTAACACAGCCCTTTCAATAGCACATAAATCTATGTGGATGAGGTGATTTTGGGGGAAGCCCCTAGTTAACCACAGATGATGGCCAGTTGCCAGGGGAACCTACCACATGATTAGGGGGTTGAAACTTTCAGCCTCACCCCAACCTCTGGGCTGGAGGTTGAACTGACACCCAGTGGCCAGTGATTCCATCAATCACGTCTGAGTCATGAAGCCTCCATAGAAATTCCTAAGTGACGGGGTTTGGTGAGCTTCCGAGCTGGTGACCATGTTGAGGTGCCGGGAGGGAGGCGTGCCCAGAGAGGGCATGACAGCTCCTGCTCCCTCCCCTTCCCCCACACCTTACCCAAAGCCTCTCTGCCACCGGGCTGTTTCTGAAGTGCATCCTTTATAACAAACATAAGTGTCTGCCTGAGTTTTATAAGCCAGTTAGCACATGTTGAACCCAAGGAGGGGGTCGTGCGAACCTCGAATGTATGGTCAGCCAGGAGCACAGGTGCCTTGTGATGGTGTCTGCAGTGAGAAGGGAGAGGGCAGTGTGGACCGAGCCCTCACCTGTGAGACTCTCCGGGTAGGCGATGTCAGGACGGAGTTCAACGGCAGGACAGCCCGGCGATGTCTGCAGACGCGTGGAGAGCTGCTTAGTGTGCGGGAAACGCACATTCGTGAACCAGAAGTGAGGCGTTGAGAGCAGAGTGGTGAGGAGAGAAGAAGGGGCTGTTTTTCCCTTCGGGTAGGAAATGCACAAGGTTGGTCCGGAGCACCTAGGGTGCCAGGAATAAAAGAAGTGACCGAAGACTGCCGGAGTCGTGTCAAGAGACACGAGGACTGACTTGAGCAGCTGTGGACAATGTTGGTTAGAAATCCCAGTGGTATGGCTCAGGGGCTGAGCGTGGCCCACACACTGGGACGTCAAGGTTTCCATTCCCAGTCAGGGCACAGGCCCAGGCTGTGAGTTTGATTCCCGGTTGGGGTGCTAATGGGAGGCAACTAATCAATGTCTCTCTCTCTCAAAAAAATAAAAAATAAAAAAATACAAACATTTCTTTTAAGTGACAGGCAAAATTCTTGCATTGGAAGGGAGAGTAATTTTGGGCACTGGGAATATCTGGGGCTTGGGACTTTTAGGGTGACCCACCGCCCCAATGTGCCTACCAGTCGGTGGGTCTCAGGCAGTCAGGGATGAACCGATCACCCCTCTAGAGGCCTTGAATGTGGGTGCATTACACACTGCCTCCGTCAGATTATTCGGGGTATTTGATGTGGGTACAACCCAAACTTAGGAATGAAAAACCCACTTAGCCGCCTCTGCAGAGAGAATTCTGGAATAAATGATCTTTTTAGAGCACAATGCAGAGGTCACTCTTGAAATTGAGGTCTTCCCCAAAAGCTGCGGGCTGGGGCGGGCTGGCGTTCCCAGGGACTGTTCTTAATGGAAGAACACTTGCTTCGGGAACCGAGTCGGGCTTAATGTAGCCGCTTTCACTTTCCTCCCCGATCGTGCTCGTTACTAAGAGACCGATTTCACAGAAGGACCGGCGACTTAAATCCCTGTAATCACTGGTCCATCCCATGAATTAAGACGGAGCCTTCGCAACTGTGCTGAGTGAGGAAGAATAATTACCGAGTTCATGGCTCTGGGTTCTGTTTACCCTGATATCGTCCGGGATAATCATTTATTTCTTGTAAGTTTTATTAAGCTGTTCAGAAAAGTTCCAGCCATGCTTTATGGCTCTATGAACTGCCCATGTATCCATTTCACAACTTGATTCATTCTGATTAAATTGTTCAACTGTTAATGAGGTTTGGATTGCAATACGGAGAGGCAAACAGTTTTGTACATTAAGGCAGTAAAATATCTTAATATTTCACAAGTTCTCGCTGAACACATAAAACAAAGGCCTCATTTCTGGAAGGAGAGGCTGTAATAATTATGCTCCGTAAAAACAAATGCACGGGGCTCCCTCTACATTATCCGGGCTTGGTGCAGTCACACGCACATGAAGGGAGCCAGGGGGCACCTGGAACCCTCACAAATGCCCGTAGAAATTCTGATACTTTCAAGCCAATTGCCACAGACGAGGTAACCATGTTGACATATTATTCCAAAGAATTTCTGGGGCTAGACAAAAAATTGATTCTTACTCACCTTACTTCACAGTCTGATGAGCTTTGCAATCTGGAGGCCATGGTGCTGGTGAGATGCTGGAGGGTGGCGGGCACTGAGGGCTTCGGGGATGGATGGGAATTATGAATCAGGTGACCAGACATGACTCTTCAGACAGCTCGCCAGCCCTCCGCCCCTCCTCCCGCCTGCTGCAGGTCCCTGGTTCGCCATCTCTTTCTCGTCGGGTACGGCGTTGGCTTTGACAGTCCCTGAGCGAAGACCCGCTGGCCTCACCCTTCGAACACTCCTAGGGACGGTCCCACTACTGAGGAGCCCTCGGGGAATAGAGATGTGGAGCAGGCAGAGGCTGAGGGTGGTAAGGCCTTGCATGGGCCACGTGAACTCCAGAAATGCAATCACTGCATTCATAAACTGGAAATTAAAAGACGTTATCGGCCCAGGCTGCTTCAGAAGCTGTGGCTGTCACACGCACAAGACTTTGCCCCCAACCTACTTTTCAGGGTGGCAGCTCTTTAAACTCAGGGAAGGAAGAGGAAGTTGTATTTGACCGTGAAGACTCGAGAGGTCTTTGCACACATTCCCAAAGGGAAAAGCCATCTCGGAACCTGGAAAGGCATACGCCATGCAATCAGAATGTGTGAGGGACCGCAGGGCACGTCTGAGGCAGGGACGGCTTCCAGTCGAGGACGCGCATGCCCAGCGGGAGCAGCGTCTGTAGCCTCGGTGTGCGGCAGGCCACACCATCTTGGTCACGTTAAGTCGCTCTATGATGTTCACGCAATGACGACATCGCCGAATGACACATTTCTCAGAACGCATCCCTGTCGTGAGGGGGTGCATGACTATATTTTGCAGATGAGAAAACCGAGGCCAGAGACCTCAAACAACTCCCCCACCTCGGGACTGGCCGCAGCAGGAGCAGGGACCAGGAGCAGCCACGAGAGATGGAGCTCGCACCGCAGCCCTCCGCCCCACCCAGGCCCAGCTGACCGGGCGGACTGTTGGGAGCACTTCACAAATGCATGGTGGATTTCTGCCCACACCCTAGGAAATGGCAGGGCTGAGGCTTCTCCAAAGGCAATGCTCGCTCCTCTCGTCCACGCTGTCTCGGGGACAGAACGCTGCATGACCTTGTGCTGAGAACAGGAGGTCAAGGGCCCTTGCAGCTCAAGCCGTCCTGGTGTGTTCGGGCTCGTCTCCACCACGCCCATCACCGGGGGCTGATGGGACCTCCCTCTGCATTACCCCTTTCTTAAGTATCCCTTATTCCATCCCAAACAGGGGGGGAAAGCCGTAGTTTACATGAGTTCTTTTTTTTTTTTTTATCCTCACCGGAGGACATTTTTCCATTTTTTATTCAGGTAGAGTAGGAGGGAGAGAAAGAGAGAGAGAAACATTGATGTGAAAGGGACACATCGAGTGGCTGCCACCCTCATGACCAACCAGGGCCGGGGACAAACTGCAACCGAGGTACATGCCCTTAGCGGGAACCGAACCCCGGTCTCTCTGGACCTCAGGCCGATGCTCCAACCGCTGAGCCAAACTGGCCAGGGCATGAGTTCTTAAATTAAATTAACGTGTCAGTTTTGCTTTAAGATCTGAAGGGACTGGATGCACCAGAGTTTGCCCAGACCGGGCCGTAGGGGCGATTTACCGGGGAACCTCCGTGGAGCCAGCCACCAGGCCCCCCATCCCGACTGGGGCCCGGTTTCTCGGGGCCACCGGACTCCCGCAGCAGAACGGAGGCGCCCGCGCCCCGCTCCAGGCTCCCTGTGGCGGCTGCAGTTTTAGGCGTGAGAAGCTGATGCCGACACGTCCTCTCGGAAACATCTTACCTGTCTCCAGAAAGGGCCTCAAATGCTTTTCTTTTTTTTTTTTATCCTCATCCGAGGACATTTTTCCATTTTTTGTTCAGGTAGAGTGGGAGGGAGAGAGAGGAACAGAGAGAGAGAGAGAAACATCGACGTGAAGGGACACATCGAGTGGCTGCCACCCACACAATCGACCAGGGCCGGGGACAAATTGCAACCGAGGTACGCGCCCCTAGCGGGAACCGAACCCAGGTGTCTCAGGACCGCAGGCCGACGCTCTAACCGCTGAGCCAAACCAGCCAGGGCTCAAATGCTTTTCAAAACTGTGCCGACCCCCAAGCACCCCGTAAGTGCAGACGTCTTAACCGCCCACAGCGTGGGTCCTGCCTGAACCCTCAAGCACACTTGGCCGCAGGTTGTCCTTCACCGGGCCCGCACTGTGCTGGTGGCTGCTGAACCACAGTCCCCGCAGATGACGGCCGGGCACCCTGGGGGACGCCTCAGCGCCTCGGCCCTCACGGGGGCGGCTACGTCGGGAAGATATTAGTAGCGACAACGAAGCACCCCCCGGGCTGTGCAGTTACACACGGCGTTTCGTGATGAGTGAAACCGAGCCGGGAAAGGGGGAACGGTTACGAGACGTTCCCGGAAGCCTCCTTCCCCCCCGACTTCAGTCCAGTACAAGATATCTCAGTAGCAACATAAACACCATAGTGTCTACTCGTTACTATAGCAACCCCATCCTTGCGATTCGCTCATGCCCAGAGGAAAGCTGCCCAGGGCCGCGTCCACTGGCATCTCCCACTCGGACGCTCTGACGGGGCTTTTCTCGGCGAGAACTGTGTCTCTCGGGCGCACGCAGCCGACGGCACCCCCGCCCCGGGGCCTCGTTCTGCCATTTCCTGACTTTGTTTCCCTGTTACGTCAGGAGCTCATCGAAGAGAGACCATGCTCTCTGAGCAGTTCACATGTTCCCGGAGAGTGGAGCGGGGGGAGAGGGAGACCCAGCTCCCGTCCGAAAGAACGTGAGCGTCTGCCCAGCACTGACCACTGCCCGTGAGCTCGAGTCTCCGCCTCCTCACCCAGCGGGATGCCCTGGGCGGAGCCCCAAGAGGACGATGGGAGAGGCCTGAGGTCCGATGGGAGAGGCCCAAGGCCCGAGGTCCGATGGGAGAGGCCCCAGGTCCGATGGGAGAGGCCCCAGGTCCGCTGAGGGAGAAGGCGCTCTCCTAACCTTCTCTCCTCTGGCTCCCCGCCTTCAGCTCTGAGAGTAAGTTCGGGAGGTCTTCCGAGTCGGTGCCTATAACCAATGCGGCCAACTGGTGTTCCTGAGTGTTCCCACGAAATGTTGAGAAAGTTCTGGATCGAAGCAGCCAAGGGTTGTCCATCCCGTCCTGTCTCCTCATTTGCGTCTGCTCTGGGGTAGGGCTGGGACGGGAATGTTGGCGTGAAGAAACCCGGTCGATGCACCTGCCTTTGTAACGTACTGATTCCAAACGGAAGATCTACTGGCTCTTCAAGGGGCCAAGGTTCTCAGCGGCCCTGCCAGGACGTGCGACACGTTCTCCAAAGCGGCTTCGGCACGTGGGGCCTCACAAATGCTCGGTGAGTCTGCACGTGGGAAACACCCGCCTGGATTAACGCAGGATGGACTCGCAGGAAGAGCGTCGCGGTGCCCTCAGGGCGGACACGGGGACAGCCTGTGCCCACTGGGGGCTTCCCAAGGGTGAGCCCTGGCGTGGGAAACCTGTCTTTAACGGTTCCAGTCCACCCACGGCCTTTCGCTGCAGGGGCCGCCTTTGCACGTGCCGATTCCGGTCTCTCTTTTTCCCTGCGGAGCCGCATCCGAATCCCAGTGCATTTCGGCGGCTGCTCGCGGCGGCGTGGGAGCTCGGAACCAGCATCACCGCGCGCCTCCGAGGGCAGCCAGCCTTCCGGTGGCTGGTTCAATCCTCCAGCCGTCCCCCGTCTCTCAGGCGGCCCTTCTTATCGTCTCGGGCTAATCCTTCAACCGTTCCAGGCTGGAGGACTTGGCCACCAGCACCCCGTCTGCTAATAAGATTTTCATTTGGAAGGATGCAGGGCACCCATGTTTTCTATCATCTATAAAAATACTAAGATTTAATAGCTCCAGGTTTTGTTTCATGTTAACGCCAACTATTTTTTTTTTTTTTAAAGGTCCCGGAATGTCTGCCCAGCAGTGAAACGCCCCGCCGACAGCCATTTGCAAGGGTAATGTCGTGGAAACAAACATCCATCTCGGGAACAGTTTCATTAGCCCCATCTAGCTGACCTCCCCACATAATGTTGTCAAATGTGACGGCATCAGATTATTGGGAACGTGGAGATCAATAAATATGCAACACCGGCGCCTGGAATGCTCCTGGCATCGGAACCGCGCGAACGCCGTCTGACACGCTCAGGGTCGCTGTCATCTGTCACACCAGCCAGCCAACAGACAAGCTTAAGGGGCCGGCTCTCCATAGCGGGGAAGCACATGGTGAAGACGGATGAGATGGGGGTGCAGCCAGACTCCTGGTGCACGGAGGCTCCAGATGAAAACACCAGGCGCACGCTCGGGGCCGCAGCGGCCCAGTTCGGGGAGTCCATGCCAGTTCCGGCCACACGGTCCAAAGCTGCTCTGCAGACCTGCTCCTGTGTTTTTTATGTCAGAGGCCACGAGAGTCTGTCTGCATCCGGGAACTTGCTAGGAACTCGGGGCATCTCGAGTGCATTTCAGACACCATGAGGCAGCCAGACCCCCAACCCCCAAAATTCCTGTGTGTGTGTCAACCACACAGTGTCTTTCCATGGGATAGCTACTGCCCAAAGCCCAACAAAGAGCCTTGTCCAGTCGCCGAACCCTCAGATGCCCACACCTTTGGGTGCACAAAACAGCAGGCTGGTTGAACTGCTAACGGAAACTGTGACCCCAGCTGGGGGTCACCACCCCCTCCTTCTGAGACCTCTGCGTGCTGCCTGCCCACTCTTGGCACCAGCCACCGCCCGCAGACCCCAGCCGCAGGCTTCGGCTCTGCCCCCCACCGCTTCCCCAGAACAGGCACCCCGTTCAAAAACCCTCTTCCCCTCCACAGGGCTCAAACCCAGCGCAGTCCACCTAGGAAGGAGAGAAACTGGAAGGAAACCACATTCTTGAGACAGTCTGCGCGGAGGGCATGAGCCGCGGGGCCTCCACCGAGCCACGCTGTCCCGAACACACACGTCCCTCCAACCCGATCGGTGCGGATGACCCGCGGTGACCGCCACACCCTCACCCCCGCCCCTTTCCACGGTGCAGGGCGCACAGCAGAAGCATAGAGGTATTTTTGAAGCACACTGTCACGAGGTACTTGGCTAGTAATTTGCAGCCCAGGTACACACCATACCTTTTAGCGCGGCTATTTATCTCTCGGGGAGAATGCTGCTGTCCTCACGATAAAGGCTCTGTCGGACCTCTTCATCAATAGCCAACCTTTAAGCACAGCACATCTCATAAATAGGAGTTCCACTAACACAGACTTCAAAAGGATAGAACTTGATAATTCAAAAAGAGAGCGATATTAAGTGTCCCAGCA